CTCTCCTCCCAAACCCCCCCCCCCCCCCCCCCAAAAAAAAAAAAAAAGAGAAGAAAAAATACGTACATAAATCCCTTAGCATATAATTAAAATAATGAAATTAAAATAGTAAACTAATCTAAATGTGTTCACCAGTTTATCGTGCTTGCATCCCTGATTCCATATGGATTCATATCTATATCCAATAAAGTATTAATATATTTTCTATAATCTATAATGTCCAAAAAGTTATCACATAGAAATATTTTATTTTAATTTATAACGTAACCTCATATCACGAATAAAACATTATTTTTTTTAGTGAAGAAAATACATGAACTATCGATGGGAGAAAAATATTAAAAAAAATAAAAAATTTACTAGAATTAGAAACGATATTATTATGAGATTGTTCAATAAAATTTGAGAATGTACCCAATATGATTGCTCTTATTTAAAAGGAAGGATATAATGATACCTTTTTAGATTCATAAGTTTTAAAGAGGAAAACAAACATGTTCAAAAATAAATATGCTATTTGCACCTCAAGTTACACTCAACACTCATTTTAGTTGCATCACTTCTTTTCTAAAATCTGTTCAGTTTAGATTGATTTATATATTTTATAAAACATTAGTGGTATATATACTCTAATTGCTCATGAAATTTCTCAAGGAGCCTTTTAGCTATCATTTTTTTAAGTATTCATTTATTTTAATTTTTATAATAGCTATCATACAAAATACATATTTTTCATACTTTTTTTTATCACGTGCATTATTTTCACAAGTAATGTATAAAAGTTTTATGGTGGCAGACTTCCAACCTGGAACATATACATACACTGCAAAACTAGAAAAAGAAGATAAAAATCAAGTTTCAATTTAACCAATTTCCATATGAGTGTCTGTAAATGCAACTACAATTTGCAAATATCAAAACAAAACTGCATCGAAAATTAAAATAAAAAGAAGAGCAACTATTCATCCAATAAACAGCAGCAAGGATGTTATCTACTAAAAAATATATATGTCAATTCCAAGATAAATACATACAGCCACTCTTTGCTGGCTTATTCCTCCATTTGCACTGACTAGAATATATCCATTGTTTCCATCTGCAAATTGCAAGGAAAAGGCATGCATACAGAAATTGGTATCAAAAATAAAATAAAATAAAATGAAATAAGAACTTCAAAAGAAAAATAATTTGACAGACAACAACGCCTCGTTTGGTACGCGGGAATGTGGAGGAATGGAATACAATTCCCACTTCCCATTCTCTCATACCAAACACACCTATATTTTAGATGTTGGAATGACCATTCTCTAGGAATGATCATTCCCACTATTTGTGAGAATGAGCATTCCAAGTGAGAAGATAAGGAATTGTCATTCCCATTCAAGTGAGAATCAAAAACTAGTTAGGTATTTTTCAATTATATCCATATTAATAATAAAGAATGTTTGGGTGAGGCGCTATGCAAGTGGACAATTTTAAATTGACAATTTAGGCTAGTATATCATTTTGCTATTTCGAAACTTATTATTTTAGTTGGTATTGTTTTATGAATTTTTGCTATTATGAATTGAGTGATTTTGATACTTTATCAAATAAGTTAATTTATATATCTAGAATTGTGGATTGTGGATATCATTCTTTTTTTTGAACCTATGAAAGATACGATAATCTTTTTTTTTCTTTAATTTTTAAGACTAAGAAATAGCGAGTATTGTTTAAAAAATATAAACGAAACATACACCTGATGGATAACACGAGCATTAGTATAACACATACCTAGATTAATATAACATATGCGTATATAAAATTATTTAGTTATTATCATTAATGTTTATTTTTTATCTTATTAAAAATCTATGTTATTGTAAGGGCATTATTAGAAAATGAGATTTCATTCCCACTTGTGTACTAATGATACCAAACATGGGAATGAGATTTCCATTCTAGCTTCATTCTACGAACGCACCCAAACAAGAGAATGAGAATGACCATTCCATTCCCACATGCAATCCATTCCATTCCTTCTTCCATTCCATTCCCAAGTCTGTCCATTCCCGCGTACCAAACGAGGCGCAAAAGTTGTGAGGGTGTAAATAAAAGAGGGAAAATTTTAAATATTATTCACTATTGAAGTTTTAATTTGTGCGATTACATTACCAAAACTTTTCCAGCCACGGCGATCAGCACAAGGTACCCATGAAGAAGCAGAGGTTAAGGTCTCTTTCCATGTATCACGAGGTTCTGGTTTGCTCTCTGCCTGGAATCACAAGCAACGGGTTCTTCTTACTAATAACTAGTTTGAAAATGTCAAATGCAAATTTTCTCTACAAGAGAATATACAAACCTTACCTCTGCCAAGGCATGGGCTGCCAACGCCAGCAGTCTAGTATACATGGGTTTATGAGGCCTTCTACTTTTTTGGTATTTAATCGAGTCTCCCTGCAAATACTTCAAGAAATTCAGTAAATGTATAGTATATCTATTAGCTTTGCAGGCATAAAGATGTTAATGCAGTTCATAGCCGCAGTTTTCAGTCCAACCGTGTATTATTTTATAGACGGGCATGGGAACAAGGAAACAGAAAATACTTTTGATTGATAACTTTTCTCAAAGAAAAAAGTGAACGCATAAGAGAAGTGATTATTTTGGACTACTCTGTACAATTATAAGAAAACATGTACAAATTTACAGGGACTAGTGATAATTAACAAATTCATGCATCACCAATTGTTCTCATCCAACAAGATGGGTATCAGATGAAACTAGATATCTGCAGTCAGTATTGAATCCACATGTTTTCTTGGTCAGCTTCAAAGAGTTGAACTTTCCTACTAACTCTGCAGTTTCACACCACTTCCAATATGAGAGTTCTATAAGATTCATGCAGTTTGAAACCCCAACCCAAGCATTATTTAGAGAAGATTAATGTATTAAACTAGGATAAAGACCAAATGGAAAATTTTCAGATCTTGAAAGTTTCTCTGGCTTATCATCAACTCTGACCTCTGCCAAGTATATTGTGCTCGTATAAGAATCACAAACAATTCCCACTAAATACAGAGAGATGAATTGCTTATCGGGAATGAGAAGGAGAGCATGGTGTTATACAATGTGAGGGACATGTTTTCCATGACGCCTGAAAGTGCTGATTGCTTATGAGGAATTAGCTAGAGAACAGTGTAATGTGATGTAAGGTTAATGATATTGATGATACCTAAAATGCAGGACATAGTAAACTAAGCTATCATGTCTGGTGTGGTGTTTGTGCCTCAATGCAGTTCAAGACCATATAAGGGCGGTGATGGAGTGAACTTCAAAAGTCAGATCAAGAAGAGGTGGATGGATCAGGTTCCAAGAAAGTCAAGTTCCAGATACAACATGAAGGAGCATATTTTGTGATACTCTTTTTGTATATTATCTTTATATCTAATTTAAAGTGATGAAAGTAATCATGTGGCACTTACAATGATCTAGGTTAGATTCTCAAAACAATCCTCCAGGATTAATATATGACATGAGCAAGTAAATATTTTGTTGTTTAACCTACAAGATATACCTATCAGCCATTTTGGATCAGCTTGTAACCTATTAGACTTTGGATCCTAAGAATTGTTTTTGTATTGGGTCTACATATATTACCGAACTATAGGAGATTGGGAATTATGTACAACAAGGTCGATTTTCCGATTTGTATTTGTATATCCGCTACAGAAACAACCTAGTTTACAATAACGCCACTGAACTACCTATGAAACCATTGTATTACACATCTTGGCAGGGTTTCAAATCTGTGTTGTAAACCTGCTGTGCTCTTACTGCGACTACAACTGCAGTTTACCAAGTAGTTGTATATGAATTTTGTGTGACATATGTGATGCATGTGTTGTCATCAACTTTGTCAAAGGAACTAACCACTAAACTATATTCAACATGGTTAACCATTTATTCTTATGGAATAATGGTCTGGTAAAAACTAGAGATAGGTGATGCTAGGAGATGCTCAGAATTAATTTCTAGAAGTTGCAGTAAAACAAAATGTCTGTAGACAAACCCCTAAGGGCCCTAACACAAGATAAATCCCTTCTCACTAGTCTCTTCATATATTCTTAAAATGTATTAACATCATTCTATTTATCAAGTATTACTAGAAAAACAATAAAGGATCATAAATTGTAGGATTATCATGAAGTCATATACAATAAACCCAACCAATAGAAAATAAGAAAAAGTAATTAACTCTTCAAAAAAATTCTTCATTGTTTTAAGTTAAACTGTCAAACTGTAGCCTTACCAATTTTGGTCTAAATCGACAGGAAAACAAAGCACAATTATTTACTAAGATTAGATTAAAAAAGGTGCAACCTGCAGAATATCTGAAGATGTCGCATCCGCAGCAGCAATTGCAGTCGAGATCTCTTCAGACTTTGAATGAACCCTATAATTCTGTAACCGAGAAAACATCCACCAATTCATGAGAACAAAGAACCCCACTATCGCGATCCACACAGCAAAGCTCCGGCTCCGGCGCCTCCTCCCGCCGCCCCCGCCGCCTCTCTTCCTCCGGGGCCAGAGAGGCCTCTGCTGATCAAAAGGAGAAGATGGCGGTGATGAGATTCTAGGTGAGGATGGCCGGCTTCTTGTAGTGGAGGAGGAGGAGGGGACCTCGTCCGCGGTGGCCATCGCCGGAGCTTAGGGGAGTTCCGGCGAGAATGGAGGAGGGCTTTTCTGGCGTTCGGAGTTTGGACGGGACAGAGGAGACAGGGATCAGGATCTGGATCCGTCCACGGGATGATGCTAATGTTAATTTTGCTCCGTGTTCGGCGGGGGAAAATAAACCAAATAATTTTACTTTCGAAGTCTGCTTTTGACCGCTATTTACAAGCGATAAATTGGGTTTTTCATGAAACCCGACCCGCAACCACCAGACCCGTTATTTAGTAACTAAGCAATCGTTATTTTCTCTCACCACCTCTCGATCCCACTGCCGAAAAAGCCCTAGCGCCCAAACACCGCCGCCTCCTCTCACCGCCACGGCGCCTCCCATCGCCGTGATCTCCTCTCAACCCTCAGCATTCTCGACGACGACTCCTCTTCGACTCCTCCTCCAGTCCTCCTCTCGCCGTAAGCTCTCCACGGCTTCAGCCCCCGACGTTGCGTCGTGTTGAAGTTTATAATTCATGTCTTTGTTCATTTATTTACTTGTTTAGTTGCTAGTTTAGTTATTGAACACTGATTTTTTACATGTTCATTTGTTCAGTTGAAATTGGAATACTTGCTTATTTAGTTATTGATGATTTGATATGATTATGACTCATGCTCAGAATTTAAAATTATTTAATTGATTTGTGTCAGATCTTATAATTATAAATCGCCAAATATACGTTTGTAGAATTTGTAGATTTTTCTTTAATTTTTCTTACTCTCTGAATGTTTATACATATTTAAAATTTGGACTGCTCTTTGACTTTGCGCCTTTTGCCGCTGTAGCCCCAAAAAAGAAAATAAACACATGTTTTTCTTCACATTTCTAGTTTTCTGCGGCTGCTGCATAGTATTTGCCTCTTAAATCTGAAACTTAGTATCAAGTTCATGTTTCATATTTAAAGGCTTGTCAGTTGTTACCTTCATAGTCAGCACTTCTATTATTTATCTCATCCTATTTTATGATTCCATTTTTATTTGGATCTTTTTAACTAGGTTTTGACTAAGCACATTCGAAGTAGAATTTCTAAAACCTGACTGAAATTTCCCCAAAATCATAATCAATAAAAAAATCAAGACAATAGAAAAAAATCTCGGCCAATGGAGATAGAGACAGAGATGCCGGCTGAGATGGACATGGAAACCATCGACTCCAATCATTCACCTTCTTCCTCCTCTGCGAAGCATTTTGGCATCAAGAATGCGATCCAGACCAATTTTGGCGACGAGTATGTCTTTCAGATTGCCGCGAGGTAAAACTGCCAATTTGATGCGACATTATATTTATAAACCCAAAAGTTTGCCCTAATTTATTTTTAATTACACCCACTGACAAAATCATTCATAAACTCAGTTTTTAAACCTAATTACAGCTAGTGATGCACCAAATATAACGACTTGGACATCAATATATTAACATATATTGAATTTAAAAATAAACTAGTACGGTTATTTTGGGTTTAGGAATGATTTTGGAAGTAAGAGTGGTTAAAAAATATGTCAAAGTAATGTTTGAATTCTATTCAATTTGATTTTATTATGTTAAAATTGCGATCATTCGAAATTTGAAGTCAGGATTCTTCGACATTGGCGGTGTCTCTATCGTCCAAAGTGATCAAATTGTACTCGCCTGTAACTGGGCAGTACTTTGGAGAGTGTAAAGGGCATCGTGAGACGATCCATGAGATCTCATATTCGATTCCGTCGTCACCGAATGTGATTTGTTCTTGCTCGTCCGATGCAACTGTCAGAGCTTGGGATACTAGGACATTTAAGCAGGTTGGCTAAAGATTTCATTTTTTGTGTAAATTGTTCTATTTTTCTAATGTAAATGCCATATTGAAACCTGCAGCGCAGTAATGATTTTCTTTGGCTAGTTTATTTGTTTGTCATGTTTAGATATTCAAATGGCTTATCATGGTTGACATTTTATTTAAACTAGCATTGTTGCACATGCATATGCACAAATTAGTTTTTAACAAATTCTACGTTTAAAAATTACATAGCAGATTCAATCACAGTGTGATCTATAGACTTGAAGAAACAATCATTTTTCACCTATTGGGAAAGATAAATTTGTTATCCTCTATTAATATTATTTGTTTAAGTTTTTTTGTCTTTTTTTTGCAGAATAAAAGGCATGTACATAGTGCACGTGATCAAAAGATATATAGTTATTCATCATAATTTATACCGTAAGAAAAATAGTGTATAAACATATATTTCACAGGGAAACAAAATTTCATGAATATGTGTAAAGAATTTTTCATTCAAATCCTTTACTTTATCCAATGTAATCTCAATTTTTTATTTTGATTTAAATTTAACACTTGTTTGAAAAATTCAATTTTATTTTTAATTTTTTCTTGATACACTTCATTGTAATTGATTAAAATGGCTATTGATAAAAATAGAGGTTTTACAATAGTGCATTTCTTTTAAAATATGTTGTCATTCTCTTTTAACCATCACAAATATAGAAATTTATCATATATTTTTTTATTTCAAGAAGAGTAATTCAGTTGTTTTAGAAAGAATTCATAAATAGGGAAATTTATCAGTTATTTTAGGTGCTTATTCTTTGCTTATTAATCTTTGGTTGTGGCAAAGTGATGCAAAATTTAGTGTAAACAGTTCGTAAAATTTGTTTTTCGAGATAGTTTTGTTTTATGTTGCTAAAAAAGATTGCGACTTGATGATATTTTTTTGCAATTTTATCAGTTTCTTATATGTGATATTTTAATTGGTTAACGTGATTGATATTTTGTTAAAATTTCTTCCTTTTATCTGGTTATAAAACTTGAGACATCTTTCGTGCAATACATGCTCTATTTGTGTTATTATTTCTGCTTGGCTTGAGCTTGAATCGAGCTTAATAGGAAAATCTATTAGTTATTTGGGGTGTATATTCTTGGCTTATTAATCTTTGTCGTACATAATGATGCAAAATTTCAAGTGCGCAAGTAAACTTGAACGAGAGGTAAACTTGGAAATTCAAAGAATTAATAATTCAAATAGTCTTAAACTGATGCTTGTGATTCTTTGCTTATTAAATCTTTGGTTGTGGCGAAGTGATGCAAAATTTAGTGTAAACAGTTCGTAAAATTTGTTTTTCGAGATAGTTTTGTTTTATGTTGCTAAAAAAGATGGCGACTTGATGATATTTTTTTGCAATTTTATCAGTTTCTTATATGTGATATTTTAATTGGTTAACGTGATTGATATTTTGTTAAAATTTCTTCCTTTTATCTGGTTATAAAACTTGAGACATCTTTCGTGCAATACATGCTCTATTTGTGTTATTATTTCTGCTTGGCTTGAGCCTGAATCGAGCTTAATAGGAAAATCTATTAGTTATTTGGGGTGTATATTCTTGGCTTATTAATCTTTGTCGTACATAATGATGCAAAATTTCAAGTGCGCAAGTAAACTTGAACGAGAGGTAAACTTGGAAATTCAAAGAATTAATAATTCAAGTAGTCTTAAACTGATGCTTGTGTACGTTTGCGACTGACTGCCATCTTTGTTTTGTGTTTTGGAAGTAAAATGTTTATATTTTACTATTTTTTATAATACACACTAAACAGAGAGCATAATTGTATAATGACACAATAACATTTATTGCTGGAATTCAATACACTTATAACTGTGCTTGCTGCTAATACTAGACAATTTTATTGCTGGAATTCAATAACATTTATTACAGAGGTTATAGGAAAAAGTGCATGTAGCTTGCCCTTTTAGTTTTCATCCCTTGCCACGTAGTTTGCGCTTATTGGGTAAGCTTTTTGCATGTCTTTAAATAGTTGTCTTCTAGAAAAATGAAATACTATTTCCCTTATGGTTTTGCATCCTCTAGGTTTCTTCATCTTCTATATTCTTTAAGTCTTTGCCTTTATACACAACAAATCATTCTTGAGTTTTCACCAAGCTACTACAAGGCATTATTCAGATATATTTACGTTAGTGTGTTCATTTAAATTCATGAATATAAGATACTTATATATTCTTGATGTTTTGTCAAGAAGTTATCAATTTAAAGTTTTTCGATCTTACACTCATTTTTATTTTATTTTATTTTATGGGCATTCCCGTATCTTCTTTTAAGGTAATGAGCCTATCCTCTCTATTTTTGTTTGTATTCAAACACATCAAAATTACTACAAGACCAAAATATTAGGACTCTTCTAACCAGGCAAAAAAATCTATAATTGTCAGCAAACTTTTTTTTTATTTGCTCATTAT